GTACAGAGACAGTCCCTTTAATCGGGTGAAGAGAAAGTAAGGCAGTGATGCGACCCATTGTGGGTAGTAGAATCACTTTGCAGATTTACTTTATGAAAAGAGTTGTTTCCTTTGAAAGTATTTGAGATCAAACAGTGTTACGCATTTTAAATAGTTCTTTAATGTATTTTACCTTATGTGTCTTTATATAGTGCCATATACACCTACTTATGTTGATGAAGCCATTTTTCTCGTAGATTTTATTTTATTTTTTTTAAATATTTTATTTATTTATTTGACAGAGAGAGACACAGCGAGAGAGGGAACACAAGCAGGGGGAGTGGGAGAGGGAGAAGCAGGCTCCCCGCCAAGCAGGGAGCCCGATGTGGGACTTGATCCCAGGACGCTGGGATCCTGACCTGAGCCGAAGGCAGACGCTTAACGACTGAACCACCCAGGCGCCCTTTCTCGTAGATTTTAGTTAATGGAGGCTAACAAGATACAGTTATAGGTTAATCTGGTAAAGTATATTTCAAGGGGATAAAATTTTTTTTTAATTTTTTTATTGTTATGTTAATCCCCCCTACATTACATCATTCGTTTTAGATGAAGTGTTCCATGATTCATTGTTTGTGCATAACACCCAGTGCTCCATGCAGAACGTGCCCTCCTCAATACCCATCACCAGGCTAACCCATCCCCCCAGCCCCTTCCCCTCTAGAACCCTCAGGTTGTTTTTCAGAGTCCATCGTCTCTCATGGTTCGTCTACCTCAAGGGGATAAAATATTTTAATTTGCACAGTTATACAACGATGAGATTACCTAATGGACATTGCATTAGAATGTAAATTCCGTGACCGCGGGGACCTTGTCTGTCTTGCTTACTAGTTTGTCCCTGGGGCCTTGTGCACATGGCCTTGTACAGAGTAGGTGCTCAAGTGAATTAATGAATGAATACACTTTGGTAGGACCCCATCTATTGATTCTCCTCCTCCCTTATTCGTTCACTCTCCTTCTCCTGCTCCCCTTAGCAGAGCAGTTTCCCAGCGTTCTTTACTGAGTCCGCTGCTTACGTTGCTTGACCAGAGTTTCCTGGGTAGTATCATCACTTCCAGGGGGTGATCATATCTGGGGAAAGTGTTGAAAAAACACTATAAAGATGTTCTGGGGATCAAGAGACCAAGTGTTAGAATCAGCTTTTGCTACTAATGAAGGTGTGATACAGAGCAAGTGGCTTAACCTGTTGGTGCTTCATTTTCCTTTTTATTGTAAGGGGGTTGGCCTTGATCCAGAGTTGAAAATTCACATGTCTCTAGGGACCAAGGGAGGTAACTCACACGGTGGTACAGTAAGGAGTTGTAAGGAATGAGATAGAATTAAAGACCCCCTGCTCTCTCTCTCTCTTTTTTTAAAGATTTTATTTATTTATTTATTTGAGAGAGAGAGAGCACATGAGCACGAGCAGGGGGAGGGGCAGAAGGAGAAACAGACCTCCCCACTGAGCGCGGACCCCTGACCCCGACCCTGGGGCTTGATCCCAGGACCATGAGATCATGACCTGAGCCGAAACCAAGAGCCAGACACTTAACCGGCTGAGCCACCCAGGTGCCCCCCTCCTCCTAACTCTTAATAAGAATTTGGAGTGATAAATGAATTTGACCAAAAACAAATACTTGTATTATCTCATCCTAATAGTTATTTTTTTTTCCCGTTAACGTTAATGCAAATTTTATTCAAGAGATAATATTGAAGAATTCTAAGAAAGGGAAAAATTTACCAGTTATTCACTCTACAGTAAAAAGTGGAACTGGGGATCACATACAACACATAAATAAATTCTATCTTTACATTTCTGAATAAAGCTCTTCTTAGAGCCATTTAACTTTTGCTGATAAAGTTTTGTGAATTGTGTTCAGAAACTTTGACAACACACACATATACACGCTCTTCAAATAAGTTAAGTACCTAGGATTTTTTAAATAATTAGATCAATGTTTATTGTGACTTTATAACTCCTTCAAATTATACTTTAATATTTGACACAGTAGGTTCAAAAAATAACTATTCAGGCCTCAGTTTTAAATTTTCCTTCAGTGTAATGCACAAAGTTGATAAAGAAATATTAATAGGACTACCCTAAAATAAATGCACCTTTCTTATAAAAATTACTTGTTATAATACAGTTCCCATTCTGTTCTGTAATTCTGATAAGGAATATACTTTTTTGGTGGGGGCACCTGGGTGACCCAATCAGTTAAGCATCGGATTCTTGATCTTGGCTCAGGTCTTGATCTCATGGTCGTGAATTCAAGCCCTGCATTGAGCTCCATGCTGGGCGTGGAGCCTACTTAAAAAAATTTTTTAAAGAATATACTTTTTGGTAATAAAACAAGGATTTAGAATGATTCAGTCCTTGGGAAATCCTAATGGCAGTCACTCAATGAAGAAGTCAGTCATTCCTGGAGTCACAAACACTCAAAAACTGCTGTTAGAGTTAAGTTTTTGTGGTTGTTGATGTTTATTGTTTTGGTTTAGCCTTGCAGTTCCTAAACGTCGCTATGGTTTCGAATTACCTGGGGAATGTTTTAAAAACACAGTTACCAGATGCTACTCTCAGAGATCTGATTTACTTAAAAAAAAAAAAAAACAAAACAACCAAAAGCTTCTCAAGTGCTTCTAATGTGCAGCTAGGTTTTGAATGATTAATTGGACTCTTAATTTAACTAGGGTGTTTCCGCACTGACTTTTAGAAACAAGCAACTGATCAAGGATATAGTCAGCTTTCCGACAAATAAGCATCTTCCCTTGTTTCGCAGCAGTCTTGACTGAATGTACAATTGTAGATGATCTCCAGGAAACAGTGTGGATTCCAGATCATCAGCAGAGAGCGAAAACTGTTCATTACACCACGCAGTCCCTACAGCATCATCATACATTTTGCCCATTTTCACTCACCCAGAACTTTTACTTTTTTCCCCACTACATGTGCAGTCATAGTCCATGGTTTCTACTACATTCTCTGAGCTCATGGCTGTCACAGCTTTCTGGGGTTAGGACTTAGTCCTTGCATATTTGAGCTTTTGTCTTAGGCCAGTTTTTATTAAGGTGTCCCCTCTGGGAAAGCATTTTATTTTATTTTATTATTATTTTTAAAAGATTTTATTTATTTATTTGATAGAGACACAGCGTGAGAGAGAACACAAGCAGGGGGAGTGGGGGAGGGAAAGCAGGCTTCCCGCTGAGCAGGGAGCACGATGCGGGGCTCGATCCCAGGACCCTGGGATCATGACCTAAGCTGAAGGCAGACGCTTAACCATCTGAGCCACCCAGGCGCCCCTGGGAAAGCATTTTAACTGAATCAGGGACTCACTACCCTAACCAAGGCTAGAAAGCATTCTTGTACATTTTAGATTGGTTTTCTGTAATACGTATTGAAGAAAAGAAGGTCTTTTGCCTTAAAAAAAATTTTTTTTTTATTAACATATCATGTATTATTTGTTTCAGGGGTACGGTTCTGTGATTCATCCATCAGTTTTACACAATTCACAGAGCTCACCATAGCACATACCTCCCCAAAGTCCATCACCCAGCCATCCATCCTTCCCACCCCCCTCCACTTCAGCAACCCTCAGTTTGTTTCCTGAGATTAAGAGTCTCTTATGGTTTGTCTCCCTCTCTGGTTTCATCTTGTTTCATTTTTCCCTCCCTTTCCCTATGATTCTGTCTTGTTTCTCAAATTCCTCATATCAGTGAGATCATATGATACTTGTCTTTCTCTGATTGACTTATTTCATTTAGCATAATACCCTCTAGTTCTATCCACGTAGTTGCAAACGGCAAGATTTCATTTTTTGATGGCTGCATAATATTCCATTGTGTGTGTATATATATATATATATACACACACACACCGCATCTTCTTTATCCGTTCATCTGTTGATGGACATCTAGGCTCTTTCCATAGTTTGGCTATTGTGGACATTGCTGCTGTAAACATTGGGGTGCCTGTGCCCCTTCGGATCACTGCATTTGTATCTTTGGGGTAAATACCCAGTAGTGCAATTGCTGGGTCGTATGGTAGCTCTATTTTCAACTTTTTGAGGAAACTCCATACTGTTTTCTAGAGTGGCTGCACCAGCGTGCATTCCCACCAACAGTGTAGGAGGGTTCCCCTTTCTCCACATCCTTGCCAACATCTGTCGTTTCCTGACTTGTTAATTTTAGCCATTCTGACTGGTGTGAGGTGGTATCTCATTGAGGTTTTGATTTGGATTTCTCTGATGTCGAGTGATGTTGTACACTTTTTCATGTGTCTGTTGGCCATTTGGATGTCTTCTTTGCAGAAATGTCTGTTCATGTCTTCTGCCCATTTCTTGATTGGATTATTTGTTCTTTGGCTGTTGAGTTTGTAAGTTCTTTATAGATTTTGGATACTAGCCCTTTATCTGACATGTCATTTGCAAATACCTTCTCCCATTCTGTTGCCTTTAAGTGAGCAAATACTTAATTCTTGGGCATTCCGTGTACTTGAAGTTTGATTTGCATTTGTATCTATGAATTAGGATGTATTTTAAGTAAAAAGTTACCAGATTTCTAATGATTTGTTTTTATGTTTGAGTTTGGCTAATGTTTAAAGATTTATTTCAAATTTGGGAAAGATATTTTGAGGTAGTTTATTTTCTCACATTTTTTATAACCTATGAGATAAAAAGATTTATTAATTTCTAATGTGATACAGTCTGCCTATTGTTTTGATTACCTGGAAAGATTTTGATTTATTCCTTAAGGGATTTATTCAATAGATTGGATCCAGTAGGTTAAGTAATGACTGCTCAAGTGAACAAATTCTTCACAAAAATATTGGACAGCACATGTTTTATTATTTTTCACCGAGAAGATTTTCAGATCTGCATTCAGCTGTATTCTGATATTTTTGGAAGAGTTAATTTTGTACTAATCAGAGTGGAATCACCAAGCTCATGCCTTCTTTTTGTGTTTGTTTTTTAATTCTCTTCCATCAGTTTTTGCTTTCACAACCAAAGTTTTGGGCCATTCAGACATCAGCCTTGATCCTCCGGACCAAACTTGACAGAGGAAGCGCACGCCGAGTGGAGCGCGCAATGAGGCAGACACAGGTGAGAATTAATGTGACAGTTTTTGTTCTTCTTCCAACTCTTCTTTATGCAACAAATGAATCACTGAACACTACATCAAAAACTAATGATTGGGGCACCTGGGGGGCTCAGTCATTAAGCGTCTGCCTTCGGCTCAGGTCATGATGCCAGGGTCCTGGGATCGAGCCCCGCATTGGGCTCCCTGCTCAGCGGGAAGCCTGCTTCTCCCTCTCCCTCTGCTGCTCCCCTGCTTGTGCACATGCTCTCTCTCTCTCTGTCAAATAAATAAAATCTTTAAAACAACAACAACAACAAAAACTTATGATTAACTCTTTATTGCTGTTAATAAGCATAGGGGTGCCTGGATGGCTCAGTTGGTTAAACATCTGGCTTTGGCTCAATTCATTGACCCCAGGGTGGGCTCCCCGCTGAGTGGGGAATCTGCTTGTCCCTCCTCCCACTTGTGTGCACTCTCTCTCTCTTTCTCTCAAATAAATAAATAAAATCTTTAAAAAGTAAGCATATATATGTGTTGTGAATATAAAATAATGAGATGGCTTTCCTTTTGTTCATTTTGTTATTTTCTAGAGTGTGGGTTTTAGAATTTGTTTGGCTCCAAAGCCCAGCTGTGTCCCTTAGTAGCTCTGTGACCACAATATTTAACCTTTCTGAAGCAAAACTGTTCCTCTGTTCACAACACTTCTGACACCAGATGTGTGGGTCTTCCATACCAAGCATTTCTCCACTTCCTTGTGGACATCAGTTCTGACACTATCTGGACTTAGTGCAGACACCATAGGTTAAGGGCTCAGACCGACAAGACTGCCCTCTACTTTATTTTTATTTTATTTTATTTTATTTTTTAAGATGCCATAAATTTTAACAAGTGTCAATTTCAGAAATGTTATTTATTTTTTTCAAATTTTTATTTAAATTCTAGTTCGTTAACATACAGTGCAATATTGGTTTCAGGAGTAGGATTCAGTGATTCGTCACTTACATACAACACCCATTGCTCTCCTTAATACCCTTCACCCATCTAGCCCAACCCCCACCCACCTCCCCCCATCAACCCTCAGTTTGTCCTCTATTAAGAGTCTCTTAGGGTTTGTTTTCCTCTCTCTCTCTCTCTTTTTTACCCCCCTCCCATTTGTTCATCTGTTTTGTTTCTTAAATTCTACATGGGAGTGAAATCATATGGTATTTGTCTTTCTCTGACTGATTTATTTCACTTAGCATAATACCCTCTAGTTCCATCCACGTTGTTGCAAATGGCAAGATTTCATTCTTTTTGATGGCGAGTAATGTTCCATTGTCCAATCTGTATTTTTGTATCCTTTGGGTAAATACCTACTAGTGCAATTGCTGAATCATAGGGTAGTTCTATTTTTAACTTTTGAGCCATCTCCATACAGTTTTCCAGAGTGGCTGAACCAGTTTGCATTCCCACCAACAGTGCAGAGAGGGTTCCCCTTTCTCCACATCTTTGCCAACAACTGTTGTTTCCTGTGTTGTTAATTTTAGCCATTCTGACAGGTGTGAGGTGATATTTCATCGTGGTTTTGATTTGTACTTCCCTGATATCTGTGATGTTGAGCATCTTTTCATGTGTCTGTTAGCCATCTGGCTGTCTTCTTTGGAAAAATATCTGTTCATGTCTTCTGCCCATTTCTTAATTAGATTATTTGTTTTTTCAGTGTGGAGTTTGATAAGTTCTTTATAGATTTTAGATACTAACCCTTTATCAGATATGTTATTTGCAAATATCTTCTCCCATTCTGTCGGTTGTCTCTTAGTTTTGTTGATGGTTTCCTTTGATGTGCAGAAGGTTTTTATCTTGATGAACTCCCAGTAGTTCCCTTTTTTTGCTTTTTGCTTTTGTTTCCCTTGCCTCAGGAGACATATCTAGAAAGATGTTGTTATGGCTGATGTCAGAGAAATTACTGCTTGAGCTCTCTTCTAGGATTTTTATGGTTTCATGTCTCACATTTAGGTCTTTCATCCATTTTAAATATATTTTTGTGTATGGTGTAAGAAAGTAGTCCAGTTTCATTCTTCTGCATGTTACTGTCCAGTTTTCCCAACATCATTTGTTGAAGAGACTGTCTTTTTTCCATTGGATAGTCTTTCCTGCTTTATCAAAGATGAGTTGACCATATAGTTGTGGGTCCGTTTCTGGGTTCTTTACTATGTTCCAGTGATCTCTATGTCTGTTTCTGTGCCAGTACCATACTGTCTTGATCACTACAGCTTTGTAATATAGCTTGAAGTCCAGAATCGTGATGCCTCCAGCTTTGCTTTTCTTTTTCAGGATTGCTTTGGCTATTTGGGGTCTTTTGTGGTTCCATACAAATTTTAGGATTGTTTGTTGTGGTTCTGTGAAAAATGCTGTTGTTATTTTGATAGGGATTGCATTAAGTATGTAGATTGCTTTGGGTAGTATAGAAATTTTAACAATGTTTGTTCTTCCAATCCATGAGCACAGAACGTTTTTCCATTTCTTTGTGTCCTCTTCAATTTCTTTCATAAGTGTTCTTTAGTTTTCAGAGTACAGATCTTTTACCTCTTCGGTTAAATTTATTCTTAGGTATCTTAGGGTTTTTGGTGCAATTGTAAATGGGATAGATTCCTTGATTTATTTTTTGGTTGCTTCATTATTGGTGTATAGAAATGCAACAGATTTCTGTACATTGACTTTATGTCCTGCAACTTTGCTGAATTCATGTATTAGTTCTAGCAATTTTTTGGTGGAGTCTTCAGCGTTTTCTATATAAAGTATCATGTCGTCTGCAAATAGTGAAAGTTTGACTTCTTTCTTGCCAATTTAGATGCCTTTTATTTCTTTTTGTTGTCTAATTGCTGAGGCTAAGACTTCCAGTACCAATAGTAATGGTGAGAGTGGACCTCCCTGTCTTGTTCCTGAACATAGGGAAAGGCTTTCAGTTTTTCCCCATTGAGGATGATCTTATGGGTGTGGGTCTTTCATATATGGCCTTTATAATGTTGGGGTATGTTCCATCTATACTTACTTTGTTGAAGGTTTTTATCAAAATGGATGCTGCATTTTGTCAAATGCTTCTTCTGCATCTATTGAGGGGATCTTATCCTTTCTTTTATTAATGTATATTATTTTGATTGATATGCGAATATTGAACCACCCCTGCAAGACTGCCCTCTACTTTAGATGCCAACCTTAGGTCTGGTTCTGACTGACTGGCTATAAATCAGGGGTTCTACTGACCCCCACCTGGAGTCCGATAATATGCTAAAATGGCTCACAGAATTTAGGGAAACTTTATGTTTATTCTCATCCATTGACTAGCATTTAGTGTCTTTCACAGATTGTCTAATAACCTAACTGTGATGCAGACTATGGTCTCTTTCACAGATTGTCTAATAACCTAACTGTGATGCAGTCTGATGGCCAAGAAAAATTTAAAATGTTGCAAAAGATGTAGGATTTCATGAAGTCAATGACAATGGTATTTTTAAAAATTTATTTTTTGCTTTGGAACAATTTAGTTGTAAGAATGATGTGAAGAAAGGTGCCTGCGGGTCTTAGTTGGTTAAACATCTGATTCTTGATTTCAGCTCAGGTCATGATCTCAGGGTCGTGGGATCAAGCCCCAAGTCAAGCTCCGCACGGGGTGTGGAGCCTGCTTAAGATTCGCTCTTTCCAGGGCACCCGGGTGGCTCAGTCGTTAAGCGTCTGCCTTCAGCTCAGGTCATGATCCCGGGGTCCTGGGATCGAGCCCCACATCGGGCTCCCTGCTCTGCGGGAAGCCTGCTTCTCCCTCTCCCACTCCCCCTGCTTGTGTTCCCTCTCTTGCTGTGTCTCTCTCTGTCAAATAAATAAAATCTTAAAAAAAAAAAAAAAAAAGATTCGCTCTTTCCCTCTCCTCCTCCCCCCACCTCTCTCTCCCTCTCTTAAAAAAAAAAGATGTGAAGAACTACCATCCACCCTTCTGACGAGACCCCAGTCAAGTTTTATCAATAGTCCTAATAATGTCCTTTGTAGCAAAAGGATCCAAGCACAGCATTGAGCTGCCTCATCCTTTGAGTTTCTTTTGTCTGGAGCAGTTCCTCAGGCTTCTCTTGACTTCTGTGGGGTTGATGATTTTGAAGGTTACCAGCCAGTTATTTTGGAGACTGTCTTTCAATTTGGGTTTCTCTGACATTTCCTCATCATTCAATTCAGGTTACACAATTTTGACAGTAATATTCCAGAAGTATTGTAGTACTCTTCTCACGGTGTCCCTCTCAGGTGTCAGAGGCTGTGAGTTGTTCTGTGATGCTCTCTGATCACTTGAATAAGGTCATGTTGGTGGAGTTTCTCCCCAATGTAAAGTTACTCTTTACCTTGTAAGTAATAAGCCTTTGGGGGGAGTTACTTTGAGATTATCATCCAATTTTCATCCACTTGTTTTAACATTTATTGATGTTTCTTGAGAGGGGAAGTTATTATGATGATTGCCAAGTGGCAATTTTATAATGATTTTATAATATCTTAGTTGGTATTCTGCTATAGGGAAGAGCTTTTTCTTCTTTTTATTTATTCCTCCACTTATTTATTTATTTGAGTGTGGACTCGTGGATTTCTGTTTTATTCATTGGGATGTAATCTTATGCTGTCATTACTTATTTACTTTACTCTTAATTTTTTATTTTGACAGAATTTCAGCTCATGTGAATGAGATAAGCTTAAGTATAGAGTATACTGTTTGTTGCTATAGTAAAAGCAGAAGTGGATTCTCTGTGTCTGAGAATGCTAATTATTCCCAGTTATCCATCCTTCATTTAGTAATAGAACCTTAGTTTTATCCAGACATATGACTTCCCATACTCCTTTGCATAACAGTATGTGGGTGGAAATGATGTGTACCCTGGCCTTTTGTCCTTTCCTATTGTGTAGAAGGTCAGGAGAAGTGGGGCTGCCATCTTAGATCAGAGATGCCGTGTGTTGAGGAATGCAGAGCTCTTTTACCAGCTCTGCATCACTTATCACTGGATTTATAAATGAG